AACGTTCCGGGAAAAAAAATATTAAAAAATTAAAAATTTTCATAACCTTATAAAATGGCTTAAAATAAATGTGGTCACCCATTGTGAGGGAAATTTTTATTTTTTTGGGTGAAAAAAAATTAAAAAAATATAAAATTTCAAAACTGCACAGAATTGCCTAGAAAACATGTGGCCATCAACTTGCAGTGAAATTTAAATTTTTTTAGGTGGCCAAAAACAAATTAGAATTTAAAAATTTTCAAAACTTCACGGAATGGCTTATAATACCTGTGGCCACCCACTTTTAGTTATATTTAATTTTTTTAACGTGCCCTAAAAATTATTAAAATAAAGAAGGACAAAAATTTTGGAAACTTTACCTAATAGCTTAGACTACCTGTGGCCACCCAATTTTAGTATGGAAATTTTTTTTTTATTTCACGGAAAAAATTTTATATTAAAAAATAATAATTTAGAAATTCTAAAAATTTTTAAATTTCAAAACTTTACAGAATGTCTTAGAATATCGGTGGCCACCAACTTTTAGTGAAATTTTTTTTTTTAGGTCCCAAAAAAATTTTAACAATAATAACAATTTTTCTCTTACAAAACTTTACAGAATGACTTAGAATACCTGTGGCCATCCACTTTCAGTGAAAATTAAATTTTTGTACGTGGTCAAAAAAAATTTAATCAAAATGAATGCGATTCATATAGTGATGTTTGATACCTGTGGCCACCCATATCGTGCTCATATATTGATGTTTCATATCAAAATGGATGGGATTCATAGTATATTTGTTCATAGGAAATTGCATGTCATAAACACTCAACATTGGCTCATTTCAAGGAAACATTTTCTCAGTCTTTCCATCAAAATGGTAAGCTTCGTCATGTACATCATTATGTGTCCGTAATACGTGTCAATAGTTCTTTACATATTCGCATAACCTTCCTACTTGTCAGTATAAACGTGGAGGTCATTCGTATAGAAGACAAGCCTCTTCCTCGTCCTCGTCCCCGTCCCTTTCCTCTTCCCCTGTCCCGTCATCTAATCCTCAACCACAATATGGACACGTTGGCCCTTCCTCCAACACTCAACAACATGTTACGGGACTTGGCCACATGCGAACTGAATCTCCTCCAGTTCAATCTCCTTTAGCTCCCTCTCCTTCCGTTCCACCCCATTATTCGGTGGAACAATCGAATATTGACGGAAACACAAGTCAAGAAGAGAACCGATTCTTCATATGCCCATTTGGAGATTCATAAGTACTTCATTTTTATTGTAGTATATGTAATATTTAGGGCTTTAGATATTGATGTCAACTGAATTGTCGATGTTGCACAATATCCGTATGATTGCAGATTCACGGATGTTCCGTCTGTTGTGAGGGAATTGAACAAAATAGTAAGAAACTTTTGGATGGGAGAGTATATTACTTACAGAAGGGTTCCACAAGAAGTGAAAGAAATATGGTGGAATGAGTTCAGGGTAAGATTTACATATTTTATTTTCTCGCAAATTAAGTTTGGTGTAGTATATTGATGGTCAAGAATGATGTAAAGGGACCAGAACAACTCTGTAGTTTTCGATACCTAAAGGACCAGATATTTTCCCCGACATGAACTTTACAAAATCTGTCTATATTTGTCTGTTGCATGGTTATGGATATGTGATCATCATAATAACTTTCAATTTGTGTTTTTATTCATTGCAGCGGAAGTTCAAGTGGGAGGAAGCGGAAGACAATGAAGTGAGAAGAATTTTCGATAAGAAAATTGGTGATTTTATGCGAAATGTCATGAATAGAGCGAAGATCAAGCAAGTGAAGCTGTCTTTCTTTACAGCTGACAATTGTGCGGCAATTAACAGATTTTGGGCATCTGAACAGAGTTGGCAACTCTGTGAGCAGAATAAGAAGAATCGATCTTCTAGTTCTAGTGATGGGTCAGCCACATATGCTGGGGGCTCTATCAACATTGCGGAGTATCGCAAACGACTGGTAAGTCTGTTAAATGAGTTATAAGTTAATTTAATTCAATTACTCATGTTTACATTTTGTAGACACAAGAATTGGGGACGGAACCGACATTTGCAGCTACATTTGAAAGCACATTTCAAAAGAAAGATAAGACATGGACTGGCGATCGAGCAAAAGCTGTTAATATATGTAAGGTTATACTTTGGCTTATATGTAAACTATAATGAAAACCATGAATGCTTTCAATATTTATGGTAGATATATATATATATATATAGTGATTTTATTTTCATCTACATTGTTAATGTAGGAAAAATATGATGAACTTTTAATGAGCAGTGCTAGTGGTAGTGATGATTGTCCTGAGTCCGGGCCATCAGTTGATAATATGGCATTATGGATGGAGGCAACGGGTGGGGTGAAAAAAGGAAAAAATATTTGGGATGGGATCGTTGTCAAGGATGTACATGCCGAATAATCCTGGAAGTTCATCATCCACTGCGACTGGTCGAAGGAGGTCACGACAAGACGAGCAATTGACCCAAGAAGTGCATCGTCTGAATAATTTACTTGTTCAGAAGGACGGACAAATAAATAACTTGGAACAACAAATGAGACTCGTTATGCGACACCTTAACCTCAATCGCTATGACGATCCTCCTATACCTCCAGCCAATCCAATAGGTGATGGGCACAATGATGACCAACACATTGATGCCGAGAATGCTGCTAATGATGATGATGATGATGATTTTCTCCGGACTTTCTAGTTAAAATTCTCAAAATCGGGGGTAAGCTTGCTTCATAATCTTGGTTTTTCATAATTTCACTCATATTCATATGTTTATGTTCGTCCTGAAACATATTTTTGTTAACCCTCTTGTTATTTTACACCTAGTTCCACATCCATGCATAAACTCTTCTTTTATATTCTGGACTGATTTATGTATCGACATTTCCTCAGGTCTCGACAAAAGTGACTACTTTTGGTGTTCTGCCATCGTACCAAAACTGCATCTTCTTGTGTATGGTTTTTCTGCGTCTTCTATGGTTGTCCCGTCTCTTAGTTCATGTTTTGAATGTATTGTAAGATTGGATATCAAATAGCATCATGTCAGACTCTGCAACTTTCCTTCAGTTATTTGTTTCAATTATATGTCATTGTGGCTGGTTTGTCAGAATCTATGGTTTGTTCGTTTTTCTGTTTCAATTATATGTCATTGTCTCCTTTGTTTGATATGGACAAGAATTTATGGCCGAAATGATGTAAAAATAGCGACGAATATTTTAAGCCGAATTTTGCGATCATTACAGTTCGTCGCTAATTTGCGACGAATACATTTTGCAACGAATTTTGCGACGAAATTTGCGACGAATTTTGCGACGAAATTTGCGACGAAATTTACGACGAATTTGCGACGAATTTTGCGACGGATAGCATTCGTCGCAAATTTGCGACGAAATATTTGCGACGAATTTTGCAACGGATAGCATTCGTCGCAAATTTGTGACGAAATATTTGCTACGAATTTTGCGACGGATTGTATTCGTGGCTAATTTTGCGACGAACTTTTAAATTTTCCGTCGCAAAATTTTGCGGCGACCTAGTAGCGACGGAATTGTTTCCGTCGCAAAATTCGTCGCAAATTCGATTTGCGACGGATTTTTCCAAATTTTCTGTCGTAAATTTCGTCGCTAATCCGGTGTTTTTTTGTAGTGCGATGGTCCAATGGAACTTGTTCTTTTTGCCCAGATGCCAAAAGTACAGACTGCGTGAAACCGGGAAGCTCCCGACGGTCCCATTGGTCCCGAGCCGCACATACCGGGTAATGCATTTTATGTGCAATAGATGGTGTGGAAAGGAATCAAAGTACACGAGCAATCCGAAACATTGAGCTTGAGGTAGCAGAAAGTGGCAACGAGACGTGCAGGACCTGCATATAGAAATGAATTGAAGAATCATTTGATGGTGGAGTTACAAAGAAATCAAATTCTAGCTACAAAAGTTATAAAAAAAGAGTACAAGCTACAAAAGCTTCAGAATTAAAGTGGACGGTGCATTTGTTTTATGAAAAATCATTGAGTTGGGAAATATCTTCCTAAGATGATTGCTTGTATTGTTTATACAAATAAATGAACTAAAAGTATTTTCATCATCGATACAAATATATAGGCATGAATGGTTGTAAATAGTAAAACATTTTAAATTGATTAATTTTTCTAAGTGATACACGATCATTTTTAAAATGCAAACGGACCTTTAAAATATTCTTCTTTTCCACGCAAAAACGAAGAATCAAAACAGAGGTGGATTGGAAAAAGGAAGAAAGTAAATAGAAGGAGAAAGATTAAGCATCGAAAACTAAAATAATCGACACTTAATAAAGCATTTGTGGAGGACAGCTTGTTTGATGATCAATTACTTATAAAAATTGCAAACATTATGCATTCAAACTGATTTAACAGTTCATTTTGTTAAGTGGTATGCTATAAGTATTTTGATAATACGTTTCCTCATAGTTTAAGTTTTAAGGGAAACGGTATGTCTAAAATGATGTTACAGCACCCGTCAATGGTTTAAATTCTGGCACTCTTGTTTTCGGTTTATCCCCATGGTGAGGTTAAATTTTCCTTAACTAACTCCTTTTTCTTACATTAACTAACTACTTAACAAGTGCCGTGAAGACACAAATTTTTTTTTTTTATAATAATTCATGTTATGGATACATTTTTGACATATTTATTAAACATTTAAACTTTTGAAAACCATTGGTCCCTGCTTTGCCCAAAAGAAGTATGAGCGGCTGTGTGACAAATTAATGTGGTTGGAGAGTACGAAATCATAGGAACAATTCATGCACGAAATCATATCAATCAGTGTAATCAAGGTGAAAAGACGTGGCAATCATTATCGAACATGCATGCCACCTCCGTTGAAAACCTATACCTTACGAAATCCAACTACTCCGAAGTTTAGTTTATTTATTACGACCCAATAAATCCCCATTCTTCTTCCTTGGACCAACCTGAGGAAAAATGAACTCCCATCAGGGGACTGCCGTAATTCTAACGCTCCTCCTCCTCCTGGTCTCAACATGCCATGCCCTCCCCAAAAGGCCGCCCGGCCTGAGCCAAGCCGGCCAGTTCCTGGCCCCCCAGAACGCAGCCCGCGCAGCCATCCAGATGCCACCGCTCGCATGGGACCTGCGCCTCGCGAGCTATGCGGATTGGTGGGCTGGGCAGAGGCAGCGGGACTGCGCCCTGATGCACTCGAATGGGCCCTACGGGGAGAACATATTCTGGGGCAGCGGCACAGGGTGGAACCCAGGGCAGGCGGTGGCAGCATGGGTCTCGGAACGGCGGTGGTACGACTATCGGAGCAACGGATGCGCAAGGGGACAGATGTGCGGGCACTACACCCAGATAGTGTGGAGGAGCACGAGGAGGGTCGGGTGCGCCGTGGAGGTGTGCCTCAATGGTGGCGGCACGTTCATGGTTTGTGAGTATGATCCGCCTGGGAATTACATCGGAGAGAGGCCTTATTGAACAAATTTATGGTGAGGTAATTTTTCGATGTGCCCAAAGTGAATCGAGGGATAAATTGTTTCGACTTGTTGGGCAGCTTTGTTTGGCTCTTGGTGATGGTTGTTCAATTCAGTCTGTTATTAATTCGCGTTGCTACTCTTTGGAGTGATGCGCACACGTTCATTTATGTATGATTCATATTATAATACAAAAATATTCAAACCACCAGGCACCAAGCCCGATTAATCATTGCGGATGTATGAGAAAACGTGCCATCCTATTCTTTTTATTTTAATTTTCTTTGATAAGCTAATATTATATTTATCAAACTGGCGACAGCTATACTCACTTTTATGTTAGCTTACTTTCCCAAAAGGTGGTACTTCGATTGAAAAGTGCGCATTTATCTTCATTTGCACGTAATTCACTAATATTTTAACACGGAATTTGGGGAGGGTGAGATGAAAAAAAAATTCCTCAAAGTCTATATTCTGTGCCGGTAAATAAAGTTGCTAATAGACACATAACAACTCGTTCAAGTTAAAAAGAATTTCAGATGTGTGTCCATTTGTACAGATATTAAAAGACGGCGGATTCTTCTTCTCCTCGGTCCGCTCCTCCCGATAAAAAAAGGTTAAAGAAACAAGTAATGTGAGAAAAAAAGGGATAATGATATAAATGATCCATGAACTTTGGTCTAATGTGTAATATGATCCATGAACTTTTAATTTGATCAATGTGGTTCTGGAATTTTAGCTCAATGTACAATGTGGTCCCCGAACCTTTAATTTATTCAGTGTGGTCCATGAACTTTTTGTATATGTTCAAACTAGTTGTTAGACTATATTAAAATATTTAATGTTGTTCCTGAATTTAAATTAATGGAATGACAACATTGAATATTTTCATATAGTTCAAGGACTAGTTTGAACATGTATAAAAAATTTAGAGATCATAATGAACGATAAAAGTTCATAAACCACATTGAATATTTTCATATAATCCAGGGATTATTATGAATATATACCAAAAATTCAGGGACTGTATTGAATAAATTAAAAATTTAAGGATCACATTGCATATTAAGTCAAAATTAAGGGACTAATTATGTCATTTTCTCAAGAAAAAAGTATGACATAATATAGTGTTAAAGAAAAGCTTCCAAACCAGGACAAAGCCTTTTTACTTTATTTAAATTAATGTGGCCTGACTTTTCTTCAAACTTTCAATCGAAATCGTGTCAAATGGAGACTGAGGGAGGATTTTTCATTATGCTTCAAAAGAAAATAGTATAGTTTTCCATACGTTTTGATAGTAGAGATTTCAATGTCATTATCCTTATCCTTTTTGGGAAAACACATAGTTGTCAGAGTGAATAGTGCACATATTAAAGGAGGGGTTATTATAATTTTGCAATTTAAAGTCAACATTACACGCACAAAATTCACGTAATTTGCTCCATCAAACACTAGCTTTATCAAATTGATGTCCTGGATGTATTTCATTTAAATTAATTAGTGAAAGGATGTTGACTATATTGAGGATCTAATTAGATCAATTGAAAGTTGCGGAACGACATTTCACATTTATCAAAAGTGATTTAATTGAATCGATTGAAAGTTTAAATATGACATGACCATAGATAAAAATTGATAGACTACTAGTATTATTATCTTTTCCAGCAGTAGAAACTTCCAATCAGTCAACTCCCCACAAGAAAAAGCTACAGTTTCATTGGACAACCCGCCTAGAATTGACCACCTGGTGATATCATATCAAGAGCTTTGCTCGGCTACTAACAATTTTAGCGAGCAATTTGCTCGGAGTAGGAAGCTTTAACTTTGTATACAATGGGACTCTGGCCAATGGGACAAACGTCGCACTCAAAGTACTGAATCTCCACATCGAAGGTGCCCTCAAAAGTTTCGATGCAGAATGCGAGGTTTTCCACATGATCAGGCATCGGAATCTCATCAAGGTGATCAGCATGTGCACAAATGTCGATCTGAGATCTCTAATACTGCAATAAGTGCCCCACGAAGAGCTTGGAGAAGTGGATTTACTCCAACAACTATAACTTGGGTCTCCATTAACGTTTGAAGATAATGGTCGATGTCGCAACAATGATCAAATACCTCCACCATGGCCAACCAGAACCCGTTGTGCACTGCGATATGAAGCATAGCAATGTTCTTCTAAACGAGGACCTAGTCGCACAAGTCTACGACTTTGGAATTGCGAAGATTTTGGCTGAGAACAAACTTGAAACGCAAACCCGAACTCTTGGCACGATTGGTTACATTGCTCCAGGTACATTTGTCAAATTTTAGCTAATTCAAGCCTTTGATTCTCAATATAATGGTATAATATAATGGGGATATATTAACGCTCGTGCCTCTCAATTGTATTACTTATGTCCCAAAAGAAATAGATCAATTCCTGATGTTCTTATTCCACAAACCATGATGCTTGCAAAGTATGGTTCGGAAGGAAAAGTCTCGACAAAAGGAGATGTCTACAGCCTCGACATATTGTTGTTGGAAGTGATTACTAGGAAGAAGCCAACCAGTGAAATGTTCGATGTGGATATGAGCTTGAGGCGATGGGTAGGTGCAATGATTCCGGACTGAGTGCTTGACATTGTGGATAGCGGAATCCTTAGCATGAAGCAAGAAGATTTGATGCTCCCGGAACTCGAGAGCATAGTTTTATCAATCCTCGAGTTAGGACTAGAATGCTCAAAGGACTTGCCTGAGGAAAGAATGGACATAAAAACTGTGGGGGAAGAACATTATAAGTGCCAAAACTTATGTACGACGCTCATTTTAATGTCAAAAGTTTTTTTCGAATCACTTAAGTGCCATTTTTTTAGAAAAACGATCTCTCAAGTGCCAACTCCGATTTGGGTCGTCGAAAATCTATCGAGGCTATATTTTATTAATTTCTCAATCCTACGTGGCATGTTGGCTCTGATAGGGATAATATTTAATAATTTTTCGATTTTTTAAACTTTTTTTCTTTTTTTCCTTCTTTTCATTTTTTTCTTTTCTTTCTTTTTCTTCTACCTTTGGCCGGTGACTGGACACCGGTCATCGCCCACCGACCATGGTCGGGCACCTGGCCTCGCCCAGACGTGGCCGCCGTTGCCCGTCACAGGCGAGGTCCGGCCTAGTGAGGGCGGGCGAGCCTTGGTGAGGGTCGGCCTTGCCTCGCCTGGGCAAGGGCGAGCCTCGGCGAGGGCTCCCCTCGCTAGATCCGGCGAGGCGGCCATGGCCTGGGTGAGGGCTGGCCTTGCCGGGGCTTGCCCTTGCCCAGGCGAGGTGAGGCTGACCCTCGCCAGATTCGGCGAGGCTAGGCGGCCATCCATGGTCAGTGGCCGGAGTTCGGTCACCGGCTAAAGGTAGAAGAAGAACAAAGAAAAGAAAAAAGAAAAGAAGGAAAAAAAGAAAAAAATCATAAAAATATTTAAAAAATCGAAATATACACATGGAAATGCCACGTAGACTATTTTTTTTTAAAAAAAAAATCCAACTCAGATTAAAATTTTAATTATAAAAGCCACGCATTAATTTGGTCGAAATTTCTCGCCGTTGGCACTTAAGTGATCGTTTTTTCTCCGATTTGGCACTTAAGTGAGCCGGCGAATACTTTTGGCACTAAAGTAAGCGCTATATACAAGTTTTAATACTTCTAGCGTTCTTCTCCCTAAAAATTGTCATGGTTAAGTTCAACAAGATCAAGTTGTCACTTCCTTGACGAAAAAATAAGGTGGAGAAAAGTACATAGAATTTGGGCATAGTATCATCTTAGTTTGTACACGATCATTTCGTTTTGATGGCATTGCATATAGCGATCTGCAATAAAGTTCCTGATCTTCTTTTATGCTTTCCGAGTTGAAGGAAAACAATTGAAAATGCGACAACATTTTCCGGCAATGAAATATGACCCAACAAGAGTCTTAGCTCATGTCTAACTTCGTAAGGTGTAACACATGCTATGTTCTCCAAGTAGAAACATTGTCTAGCCAGTGATGAATATCGTTTCATTTGGTAGGACATGCTAGGTACGGCCCATGAGCCTTGTATCACGGGTTAGCAGTTCCTTGACCGCGGAACAGTCCGTGCGGCACCTGGCGCATCGTTCACACCAGGCCAGCCCTCGTTCATTAACTGTTCCAGAAAATAATACGACAAATAGCTTCCTCGTATCGGATCGTGCCACGCCCGAGCCCAGCTTGACTTGGGCATTTAGTCCATCGAGTGAGACTCATATAATACTTTAGATACAACAACTGGTTTTAGCCTGTCATGATCTCATCAGCAGAGGAGCATAAGCTCCCGACCAGTTTGTACATAGGAGGCTAACCTCGTCTTCAAAGCTCCTAAGGTATATTCATTCCATTTTAGAACTCCTAGCACCAACCTTCTTGACACTACTCCCACGACCCAGTTGTATCTCAACCCTTATGCGTCCTCACTCTTCACCCGATATTCCCGAGCACCACTCACAAGGGTACAGGAGCACGAGAGAATCACGGTCCGTGACATTCTCCCCCACTCAATTCCGCAATGCCATCATTGCGGGCCATTCTATCACTTTCTTGCGTCAATTCTCACCATCAATGCCGCTTCTTTTCCGAGACTTACATGAGTGGTAGATGCTCGCCCAACAAAACAACTTTTCTCCACTGGTGGCTTTCTTGATCAGAGCCATTTAGCACCCTCAATCACTTGTGCTTTCTTTGACAAGTGTGGCATTTTTTGCCAATTGCACCATTTTGGCAGCCCCATTCTTCGCCTACTTTGGAATTCTCATGATCTTGGTAGACCAACGGAGGTTTTTCTCCTTTTTGATAACGTGGTAGCAGACCCATCTTGAGACTTGCCACATTAATCCAAGAACATTTTCCGTATTCAATGAGGAATCGATTCTTTCTTGTGCCCCCAACGTCATCCTAGAAGCAAGTCAAGAGCCGCACTTTGTCTGAGAATCTTTTGGCTTCGGTGATTCACTCCCTGCCCTTGTAGGACCAGGTAGACCACATCTTTTCTTTGATTCACTCACCTACTAGAGGGATCCCGCTCTAATACCATTTGTCATGGGTTGGTAGTTCCTTAGCTGCGGAATAACCCGTGCAACGCCTGGCGTAGCATTCACACCAGGCCAGCCCTTGTTCATTAGCTGTTCCAAAGAACAATATGGCCAATAGCTTCCTCGCATCGGATCGTACTATGCCTAGCATAACTTGGGCATCTAGTCTATCGAGCGAGACACAAAAAATACTTTAGGTACGACAACTGGATTCGGCCTGCCATGGCCTTATTAGGAGAGCAGTATTAGCTCCCGACCAGTTTGCGCACGGGTGGCCTGTGACATTCCGAAATTTCGCTCATTTGGAATTTATGAAATGAATTATTTTATTAATATACTTGTAGCTAGTTCTCGCCCGGAACTGATCATTCCTGGGATACTAACCTATAGGGAAAGGCTAGTGAGGGATCTAAATTCGTACGACTAAAGAAAATTCGATCGTTAATTGACTTTCGACCATGAAATCGTCGAGGTGATATTTTGAACCACTGTTGGCCGATCCAAGGATAGCAAGGGGTCCGTTCGCCATTGTCATAGTAGTAGATCGCGGGTGATTCCGCCAGACCACGAATTGAATTGACGAATGATCCTCAACCTATACCGAACGATCGTACCCCTCGAATCTAGTGATTGATCCTCGCGATTTTATTGGTAAACGAAATCGTTACGGTCTGAATAAATTGCACGTGACTCGATTTAGTATCAGTCACGGGTCGTACGGGCGAATTTCCCAAAAGCCACCCGTTAGTCTGAGAAACGCTCGAGTTACGTTATACATATATAATTTGAATATTGATTAGAGACCAAATCGAGCATCGGAAAATTTGGAAAGTCATGGCAGGGCCTTTGGATGACGTTGTAATTGGAACGTACAACTCCATATTTCTTAGGATTTTTCAGAAAAGTTCGATTTCGACAAGAAACGGAGAAAGTGACCATTTTACCCTTGTGAATTAATAAAGGGTTAGTTTTATGGGCAAAGGGCGTTTTGGTCATTTTACCCTCAAATTTGGAAAGGACAATTTTGCCCTTGGACTTTTTGAGAAATTACAAGACTACCCTTAGATATTTTTGGGTGAGATTCGATCTGGGCCGTCGGTTTCAAGATAAGATCGAATCTGGGCCGTTGATTTCGTTTGTGAGAGAGGGGCAAGATCGTCATTTGCCGTTTTGGTCAAAGTTGGTCCAAGCCTTATCTCTCTCTCTTTCCTCTCTCCCCCTCATTCGGCCCCTCCACACCACCGTGAGCCCCCCTTTCCGATCACTCTCTCTCCTCTCCTCCCGATCGCCGGTCGCCCCTTGGCCGCTCGCCGCCGTACCATCGCAGCCGGTCACGCCCGTCCGACCGCCGCCGTCTTCGCCACCAAGCCGTCCCCGACCCTCACGCCGTCCCCCTCCCTCTCGGTTTCTCTCCCCTTGGCCGTGAGCCAACCGGCCACCGCCCAAGCCGCCGCCGATCATCACCGCCGCCGCTAGCCGCCGTTAGATCTTCGTCTTGCCGCCGCTATTCGCTCTAGCCGAGGTAGTCTAGGGCTCGGTAAGTCATATCCTAAACCTTAGCTAGGACGTCGGGTATCGACGGGAAATTTTTGGGGTGGAATCGGGTTTATTTAGGTTCGGAATGGTACAATTTTGGGATCGGGATTATGTGGCGGGCCTTAGGATTGAATTCGGAAATTTTGGTGGAAATATCGAGGTAGGAAATGGGCTGTGGATGACTGTTCAGTGGGCTGTCATGGGCCGATCGGGACGCAAATTGGATTTTTAGAACCGGCAATTAATTGTGAGAAAGTGTCATGAAGGGTCGGAGTTGATTTGACGCCGTTTGGTTGGAGAAAAATGGCAAATTGCGTGTTTAATGTGTGTTTGAACTACGACTGAATTTTGGTGATGAAAGTGAGTGCGTGGTTGTGCAATTAAATGATTGAAATATGCCTGTTGGGTGCACGCTTGGGCCAAACTGATTTAATTATTAAAATTGCCCATGTCAAATGCTTAGTGAGCATGTTTTACGTGTGAATTGATGCGTGCACGGGCCACGTGTGATTGGCCAGTTGAGTGTGGTAAATGCTTGTTGAGCATGTGTATGAGTGAGAAAGTAATGTGGTATGACATGTATTCGTGGAAATTGTGCCGTCTTGAGGTGTGTACTTCAACGCGGGACGATGCCCAGTAATACCGGAAGACTGCCAGCCTAAGGCGTGTACTTCAACGCGGGTTGCGCAGTAGGTGGTAGGTGTTGAGCCTGAGGCGTGTACTTCAACGCGGGCAAGAAACATGGCCTGAGGCGTGTACGTTAACGCGGGCCCTGAAGTGTTGTGATAAGAGGTCGCAGTGTACCTGAGGCGTGTACTTCAACGCGGGTCACTGGCGAGAGATGTGGAAAGGATATGATGAGAATGAAATGAATGCATGAAATTAGAATTGTACCTGCATGTGATTGCACGTATGTGATTGTGTTTGTGATTGTGTAATTGTCTGGAGGTACGTGATAGCCTAGGTGGGGTTTAGGGGTGTACTTACTGAGATGTAGTCTCATGGTTGTTTCGACCAACATTTTTCAGAACCTCAACCTGAGTCATGAATCCTCCGCCACCGCCACCAGAGCGTTTTGGGGTACCAGTGCACACCGAGTATGAGGTTGCAGAATTCCCGATGGGTGATGGCATGACCTGGATTAAGCATACTACGACTGTTTTTGTAGAGGTAGGATTACCTTTATGGGAGACCCATGTTTATATCGCCTGGTTCTTCCGGGATGCAGTCGGGGATGAGTTCGGGCCCGTTGGGGGTTTTGATGTTCCGTTTGACTTAGTTGGGGATTGGGACCCGTCTGCCATACCCCCGATAGATGGAGAGTTGACCAGTACAGAGGTTAGTTTAGCTCAGTCTGGTTTACATCCAGCGCCCGCAGCTCAAGAATCTTCCGGGGCCGAGCACGAACCTGAACCCGAAGCATCGCAGGCTGAAGGCGACCCGATGGATATCGATTTAGAACCAATTCCCGAGGAGGAACCAGAAGAGGTAGAACCCGAGATAGAACCCGAAGTTGAGCCTGACGAGTCCGAGGAGCCTGAGGAGGAACCGGAATATATAATCCCGTTCGAGCAGTATATGGATCTCAACTTTGTGCCGGAATACTATTTCTTTGATGTATTAGCTGAGGAGGTTCAGAATGAAGTTCCAGCTGAGTCGGGTGACATTAATCACCTGATTGAAATTGAGGCTGAACCAGAGTCCTCGGATGAGCAGACTGTTCAAGAGAACTCAGATTCTGAGGACGAGGAATCAGATTCTGAATGGACGCCGAGTAAGGGGCGTAGAGGTTAGTATAGGGGTTGAAGCTAGGAAATTTAAGGAGTACCATTTTTTAGTATAGATGCCCAGGTCATCGGTTCTTTTTGATATCGATGTTTTATAGTACGGTGTGCACATGTATATATTGATTTGTAAAATTGTGAATATTATGGTACAAGTTTGAATCAGAAAAGAATATGTGTATTCTCCCTAGTCTCCCCAGTTTTAATTGTCAGGGTGATTTGTGGTTTTCGCTGTTGAATTAAATATCTAATGATCATAAGTGGGGTCGGCGATACCCTGGGATATCGCATCATTCGACCGAGGAGGGATGTCGCGAGCTCGTTGGGGTTCGGGGCGTGACATCCCTGTTTGAATTGGTATCAGAGTAAGGTCAGCTCGATCTAAACCGGTCGAAGTTTGGAGTGATAAGGAGTAGAAATCTTGGGGTAGTATTTAGGGAGACCTTAGTGAGTTATATGGCGAAATGAGCTACACGTGCCTCCAGATTGTTTGTTGTGATTGATTGAGTGAATTGATTATTGTGATGATTAAAATGCAGGTGCGTCTGGACCTGAGGTGAGTGTTCAGACTTTGTTGATCGTGGTTTTGTGTTGGTAATGATAGAGTGCCTGCTGAGTGAACTCTTGTGTTAATTCACTGGCTAGAATCAGATTAATCTAGTTAGTCTAGATTGCTAATTCCTGAGTGGAATTATAGCAGGTAGGAGAGTGATAGAATTGTGTCGATGAGCAGCGAAGGAAGAGGTATAGGAAGAATCCCAAGAAGGGGCGCAAGTAGAGGAGCAAGGGGTAGAGGTCGTGCTAGAGCTAGAGCCGTAAAGGATCTTGGAATGGGTGCAGGAGCGATAGAAAATCTTGGGGTTGAGGCTGGAGCTGCAGTGGACCCTAGAGTGGAAGTTAGACCTGTTGAGGATCCTAGAATGGAAGCCGTTATGAGGACATTGGAACAGATCGGAAATCTGTTAGGATAGCAGACTCAGGAAAGAGCTGCTACGATTGCCCAAGCTGCCGAGGCCGCTGTGGCCGCTGCTGTCGTCAATAATAATGAGAATCAAGGGCAGGGGCAGGTGGTTGTAAATAGACCGATGCATCAGCTGGTAGAGCAATTTATGAAGCTAAAACCGCCTAAGTTCGCTGGGAAAGGTGACTCTGAGGCTGCACCTCGATGGGTAGAGGAGCTCGAGAAGGCTTTTGAGGTGTTAGAGTGCAATGATAATGAGAGGGTAACTCTGGCGGTATATCAATTGCAAGATAATGCAAACGATTGGTGGAAAGCCACCAAAGATAGGGTTTTTCCGGAAGGTACGGCCCGAACTTGGGCTGCTTTTACTGAAAGTTTTTATGAGAAGTATTTTTCGGCTAGTGCCAGGGAAAGGAAGTTAGCCGAATTTATGAGTCTCCGCCAGGGCCAGATGACAGTAGATCAGTATGAGGCGGAATTTGCAAGATTATCTAAATTTGCGCCAAAAATGGTGGAACATCCTGATGATAAGGCACGGAGATTTCGGGATGGATTGAAGGCTAATATTCGTAGCCAGTTGTTACTGGTAAATCTGAGGACGTACGAGGAAATATTTGATAGGGTCCAGATTCTAGAGCGAGATCAGGTGGATAGAGCCGCCGCTTCTGGGTCGAGATTTGTCCAGGGTAAGGACAATCGTAATCCTGGGAAGAGGCCGATGTTGGATAATAGGCGTTTTATCCCTTCCGTTAGAAGAAATATTGGGAAGCCAGCCCGAAATCAGAATGGTCCGTGTAGAATTTGTGAAGGTAGACATGGAAATGGACCTTGCCCAACCCGGGGCGAAGCGTGTTTTGGATGTGGGGGATTTGGTCACCACATAAGGAATTGCCCCAATTCCAGACAGAATAGGCCACCTGCATTGCCGCCATCTCGGAACAGGAATCAGATTGGAGCAGCCCAGACAGTAAACCAGAATAGGCCTCAAGCATAAGGACGAGTGTATGCTATGGCCAGACGAGAGGCTGAGAACGCACCAGGGGTTGTCACAGGTACGATTTCTCTGTGCAACCATGCTGCGTATGCTTTATTTGACCCTGGGGCATCACATTCTTTCATATCGAAACGGTTTGTTGAGTTGATTGGAATAAAATCGCGATTGCTTGATGTTGTGTTATGTGTGGCGACTCCCTTAAATAATAAGATGTTGGTTTCGTTGGGTTGTCCAAACTGTAAGATCGTGATTGGGGATAGGGAGGAGAAAATTGATTTAGCGGTTCTAGACATATATGATTTTGATGTGATAGTGGGAATGGACTGGCTGTCCAAGCAGAGGGCCGTCATGGATTGCAATAGCAGAGTGATCCAATTTAATCCGGTTGGACATCCAGAATTTAAATTTGTGGGAAGTCGAGGAGGGCCCTCGATTCCATGGATTTCGTCGCTAGAAGTGACAAAATTGCTGAGTGAAGGTTGTCAAGGATTTTTAGCAGCAGTAGTTGATTTAACGGCTGAAGAGCTGAGGCTTGAGGATATAGCTGTGGTGTGCAAGTATCCCGATGTGTTCCCTCAGGAATTGCCGGGACTGCCACCAGCAAGGGACGTGGAATTTGTAATCGAGTTGGCACCTGAAACCGAGCCAATTTCGAAAGCACCTTATAGGATGTCGCTGTCGGAGTTAAAAAGAATTAAAGGTGCAAATGCAAGAATTATTAGATAAGGGATTTATTCGACCGAGTGCGTCTCCGTGGGGAGCGCCGGTATTATTTGTGAGGAAGAAAGATGGATCATTGAGGTTGTGTATAGATTACAGGCAGCTGAATCAGGCGACAATTAAAAATAAATATCCCTTGCCGAGGATTGATGATTTGTTTGATCAGTTACAAGGGGCTTCGGTGTTCTCTAAAATTGATTTGAGAACGGGGTATCATCAGTTGAGGATTAGGAAGGAGGACATACCGAAGACGGCATTTAGGACGAGATATGGACACTATGAATTTACTGTAATGCCGTTTGGATTGACGAACGCCCCTGCTGCCTTTATGGATCTGATGAATCGGGTGTTTAAGGAATTCTTAGATCAGTTTGTGATTGTGTTTATAGACGATATATTGGTTTACTCGAAGAGCTTAGAGGAGCATGAATTTCACTTGAATCGAGTGTTGCAGACTTTAAGGGAAAACGCATTATATGCTAAGTTTAGCAAGTGTGAATTTTGGCTCAGTCGAGTAGCATTTCTCGGTCATGTAATCTCTGGGGAAGGAATCTCAGTTGACCCATCGAAGATTGAAGCTGTGATGAAATGGCCTAGGCCGACGACGGTAACAGAGGTTCGGAGTTTTCTGGGTTTGGCTGGATACTACCGTCGTTTTGTGGAAGGATTTTCGGCAATAGCAATGCCATTGACACATTTGCTGAAAAAGGAAACGAGGTTTGAATGGACAGATAAATGTGAGAGGAGTTTTCAAGAATTGAAGCATAGATTGACAATGGCACCAGTGTTGACTATTCCATCAGGACCCGGAGGATATGAAATATATAGTGATGCGTCGTTGAAAGGATTGAGATGTGTACTCATGCAAAATGGGCGAGTAGTAGCTTATGCATCAAGGCAGTTAAGACCGCATGAATTGAACTATCCGACGCATGACTTGGAGTTAGCCGCAATTGTATTCGCCCTGAAGATTTGGCGACATTATTTATGCGGAGAGAAATTTCAGATATATACTGATCATCAGAGCCTCAAGTATTTATTTTCTCAAAAAGAGTTAAACATGAAGCAGCTTCGGTGGATGGAGTTATTGAAAGATTACGATTGTGAAATTCTATATCATCCCGGAAAGGCTAACCGGGTAGCCGATGCTTTGAGTCGGAAGTCGAGCATAGCTCATTTGATGGTTAAGGAGTGGACACTGTTAGAAAAAGTGCGAGACTCGGAGTTTAGATTTAAGTAAGTCAAGTCTCGAGCTTGCTGGCTACACTTAGGATTGAACCAGAAATCCAGGCCAAAATTAAGATGTTGCAATCTTCGGATCAAGAAATTCAAAAGATTCTAGAGATGGAGGAGGCCAAGAGAAAGCCAGATTTCCAAGTATCAGAAGATGGGATATTGAAGTTTCGTGAACGCTTATGTGTGCTTGACGATGCGGAGCTTAAGGAAGAAATTTTATCGGAAGCGCATCGTAGCAGTTATAATATCCATCCAGGTACTACTAAAATGTATCAGAATTTAAAGCAATACTACTGGTGGAACGGTATGAAGGTGGATATAGCCAGACATGTGGCCAAATGTCTGACGTGCCAACAGGTGAAGGCACAACATTGTAAGCCCGGAAGGTTGTTGCGACCATTGGAAATCCCAGAATGGAAGTGGGAGCATATAACCATGGATTTTGTGTCGGGGTTGCCAAGGAGCCAAAGAAGCCATGACACTATTTGGGTGATTGTCGACAGACTAACCAAGTCGGCACACTTTTTGGCTGTGCGAAAGGATTTCGCATTAGTCCGGTATGCTGAGTTGTACGTGCAGCAAATAGTTCGTTTGCATGGGGTACCAGTGTCGATAACCTCAGATTGTGATCCTAGATTTATTGTCAGTTTTTGAAAAAGTCTGCAGACGGCGTTAGGATCCAAGTTACAGTTTAGTACGGCTTACCATCCTCAGACAGATGGCCAGTCTGAGAGGACAATTCAGACTTTAGAGGATATGCTCAGGGCATGTGTGCCGGATTTTCAGGGTAAGTGGGAAGAGCAACTGCCTTTAGTAGAGTTTGCTTATAATAATAGTTTCCAGCAGAGCATTGGAATGGCGCCTTTTGAAGCGCTATATGGCAGGGCTTGTAGGACACCCGTGTGTTGGGACGAAGTGGGACAAAGGACTATAACCGGGCCAGAGCTAGTCGAACAATCGATTGAGGCAGTTAAGATTATACGCGAAAGGTTGAAGACAACACAGAGCCGTCAAAAGAGTTATGCAGACAAAAGGCGAAGGCCTTTGGAGTTTCAAGTAGGGGATCACGTGTTCCTTAAGGTATCGCCCATGAGGGGACTATCCAGGTTCGGTAAGAAAGGGAAGTTGAGTCCAAGATATGTGGGACCTTTTGAGGTTCTAGAAAGGATTGGAGAATTAGCGTATTGCCTTGCGTTACCACCAAACCTATCGCAAGTGCATAATGTGTTCCACGTATCAATGTTGAGGAAATATGAACCGGACCCGACGCATATGCTGAATTATGAGGAGATAGAAGTAGATGACAAGGTGTCTTATGTCGAGAGACCAGTAAGGATTGCAGACCGAAAAGAACGGGTTTTGAGGAACAAGACAATCCCGATGGTCAAAGTTATTTGGGAGCACCACGGGACTGAAGGCGCAACTTGGGAAAGTGAAGAGGTGATGCAACGTCAATACCCCCAGTTGTTTGAGCAGTAGTAGGAATTGTAAATATTGGGTAGTGGTGAGATTTGTAAATTTTGAGGACGAAATTTTTGTAAGGGGCGAAGATTGCGACATTCCGAAATTTCGCTCATTTGGGATTTATGAAATGAATTATTTTATTAATGTACTTGTAGCTAGTTCTCGCCCGGAACTAATCATTCCTGGGATACTAACACCTATAGGGAAAGGCTAGTGAGGGATCTAAATTCGTACGACTAAAGAAAATTCGATCGTGAATTGACTTTCGATCATGAAATCGTCGAAGTGATATTTTGAACCACTGTTGGCCGATCCAAGGATAGCCAGGGGTCTGTTCGCCACTGTCATAGTAGTGGATCGCGGGTGATTCCGCCAGACCACGAATTGAATTGACGAATGATCATCAACCTATACCGAACGATCGTACCCCTCGGATCTAGTGATTGATCCTCGCAATTTTATTGGTAAACGAAATCGTTACGGTCTGAATAAATTGCACGTGACTCGATTTAATATCAGTCATGGGTCGTATGGGTGAATTTCCCAAAAGCCACCCGTTAGTCTGAGAAACGCTCGAGTTACGTTATACATATATA